AGTATGTCTTGTGGGTCAATGATGTGGCATTCATTTTTTGAAAGGTCCTGTGTTTACAGACAATGACTTACAAAATCACTTATGATTCAGTGTCTGAATTTTTTAATTTGTCAATATTTTTGTAGTCTTTAAGTTAAAGAAGAATGGCTCATTTTGTATTAAATCTAGCTGTAGAGCTGCTTTGAATCAAAACAAAACAGTCATAAAGTCAATGTTGTTTAAGCGACATACAGGCAGCAATTATACATTTGTGCAGCTACTTTTATCCAAAGCAACATTTAATAACTGGTTAATTTATTCAGTTCATTCATTCCCTGTAAATCAAACCCATGACCTTTTGTTATTATTTGCTTTCATTCTATTAACCTCTTCTTCATTGATTTCTACAGAACTGAGCCTATGGGTGAACACTTCATCAAAGCAGGGATAAGGAAGTGTAAGTTTCTTACTCTCCATCTCTCTGTCTCTCTCTCTGAGGCACTAACGGATGTGTTTTCTGTCTCACAGATGCATGCAATCTCACGCTGGATCCAAACACAGCTCACGATCAGTTGTGTCTCTCCAATGAAGACAGAACAGCAGCATATGTAATGCAGAAGCAGCCGTATCCAGATCATCCAGAGAGATTTGAATCTGTCCAACAAGTGCTGTCTAGAGAGAGCCTGTCTGGCCGCTGTTACTGGGAGGCCGAATGGACGGGTCCGAAGGGGACGGTTGGAGTGACGTACAAAACCATCCTGAGGAAAAGTGATGATCTTTGTATAGTAGAGGCCACCAGTCAGCTTGGAAACAATAGTGTGTCATGGAATATTACCTTTACATCTTTTCCATATGTTTCTCACGCTGAAGAAGACATTAATATAAAGGCTTCATCCTCTTGTTCATCTAAAAGAGTGGGTGTGTACGTGGACACGACGGCTGGCATTTTGTCCTTCTACAGCATCTCTGACACACTCACACACTTGTACACCTTCCTTGCGGCTTTTAAAGATCCTCTCTATGCAGCATTCAAGGTGGACAGTGGCTCTGTGTCCTTTTGCCAAATGTAACCTGAAAGTCTCTTTATCCTAACATTATGTGCACATTTATTGCCATCTTGTTTATCTCTGTGTGACTGAGTATAACATCAGTTCATATTTGATGAGATTTTATGCAGGTAAAAGCAAAGGTTTCACATGTTTTACTGTAAATAACAACCGAACCACTTGTTCAGAAATTATTTAAGTACTGCTCTAGGATTTGCCTTTTTAGACACGCAAAAGCAATTTTTTTTAATGCTTTATTTGTGTTATGCTTAAAGTCTCATTTAAGTCTCATTTGTTCACTTTGTTAACCTAGATCAGTGTTTCCCAACAACTGTGCTGCAGCACATTAGTGTGCCATGACAGGTTATCAAAAAGTTCCTATCTCTATTATATTTTATTATTTTACATAAGTGCTATTGGTCATCGTTATGTCTGTTTATGGGTTTACAAATATTTAACCAATGAAAAATATTCAAAAGAGCTTGTGACTAAACTTCATAACACCATTGGATCCTCAAATTGTCAAACCTCATAACTCCACCCCGCCTCCATTCAGAATGAAGTGCCATGACGCGCAGTTTGAAGACAGACGTCTACTTCACAATGTAAAGGTAAATAAAGAGCTGACATTTAAAGAAGTACAGCATTTTATAAAGACTATTATTTTTGTGTGTTTGAAGAGTGGAGAAGAGTCTAAGCTGTCTAGTTGTAGCCAAACACTTTTGTACGTTTTAAATATCCTGTGCATAGTGGTTCATCTTTTACATCATGAGATTTTGGTCAAATGTATTAAACAACAAGAAAAACTGAGCACCCATATCCACCTTTTTCTTCCCAGAAGAGTGCGCACGGCCATTTGTAAATTTTATGGGTCTGGATTCCGGTCTCATCCATATCCAGCTATTTTTAGCTGTACAATACAGCTTACTTGCGGATTGATATTGCAAATTGGTGTGCCGCACCAGTCGTCACTTTTGGGGATCCCCAGACCAGATGTCGGACCAGATGTCGTTCGCTACATCAGAGGGGGAGTGTATGTCCTCCGGGGATGAAGATTCGGCTGCGCTGCTCCCTTCGGGTGTGGCAGCGTTGCCCGAGTCAGACCAAGAGATGGCTACTATGCTTTCCCGGGCCGCTGCGAGTGTCGGGCTCGAGTGTAACCCTCCACCATGTCTCGAACCCTCGCGGCTGGACGATTGGTTTCTTGGAGCGGCTCATGCTGGATCTCAGCACTCCGCCCCAGTACCTTTCTTTCCGGAGGTGCATGAAGAGGTGACTAAATCGTGGACAGAACCTTTTTCTGCCCGAAGCCGGTCTGGTCCTTCTTCCTCCCTCACTACTTTCGATGGCGGGGCGGCTAAGGGGTATGTGGAGCTCCCCCCAGTGGAGCGGTCTGTGGCGATGCAACTGTGTCCCAAGACCGCTACCTCTTGGCGGGGTAATCCGCGTCTCCCCTCCCGAGCATGTAAGTTCTCGTCCTCTTTGGCGGGCAAGGCTTACACAGCTTGTGGAGAAGCCGCTTCCGCCCTGCATGCCGTGGCGCTCCTGCAGGTCCACCAGGCCAAAGCGCTCAAGGAACTACACGAGGGTAGTTCTGACCCATGGGTTATGCAGGAACTGCGTGCAGCGATGGACCTCACCCTACGGGCAATGAAAGTCACTGCACGCTCCCTGGGTCGGGCGATGTCCACCTTAGTGGTCCAGGAGTGCCACCTGTGGCTGAACCTGGCAGATATGCATGAGCCCGACAAAGTTTGGTTCCTCAACGCCCCTGTCTCTTCGGCGACGCTGTTGAAAACTTTGCCCAGCAACTTTGCCCACATTTTCAAAAAAAGAGCAATTTTCTCTATCTCTGGGTCACAAGAGGGCGCGGTTGGTAGTGTGCGACGTGTTGCAAACAGCAGGCAGTAGTGTGTCGGTCGAGGACTCCACCAGGCCTTCTCTCACACCCTCTGCCCCACCCTGAAACCAGGTAAGTGTGGCGCAGCCCACGCAGACTCCACTTCGGGCCGCCTCAGTGCCTCCCTTTTGTCTCGTCGCTCCAGCCGGGACACGGCATCAACGCTATGTGAGGGGCGTAACATTTCCGTCTCACGCTTGAGGTATTCGGCCAATCACCAAATACACAAAATAATGTTCTTTTCAGCAGCCTCATATGACCCCTTTAAAAACGCCAACGCGCAGTGCCCTTAACGCACACTAAACCCACACTATCTCGAATACTGCTCCGGAGCGCTATTTGAGGCTTAGTGTATCCCATCATGCATCATGTTCTGGAAAAATATCGTGATACTTTTTGCCGAGATCTCGCGAGAGGTCACGGAAACCTTTCCAATGCAAGTTAAATATTAATATAATAATTAGATATTACATATAATTTGGTAGAAAAACTGTGTTTTTACGTTTTATTGGTGCAAAGATGAGTATAGTGGTGATATTTATTTTGTACAACATTTGCAACTGCTTTTTATCACTTAATTAGAAGCACCACAAATTAAAATTATGTCATGTTATAGGGACTACTGAACAGACATTTAGAAGTTGATTTTAAAATGCAAAGTAATTAAAATTGAAATTAAAATAAAGCTATGTAAACACTTGCATTTTTACAACACTATAAGTCTGTTCCATCAGGTAATGAAAAGTTCGACACACACTTGTGGTCTTCATCCTCACTTGAACACTCGGGCCAAATACAGGAAATACGTCATATAAGTGTTCAAGTGGTCAAGTGCAAAGATCGCAAGTGTGGGTATTTGGACAAGGCAAAGGAGAGGACTTGAGGAGGGCGCTTTGTTTTATTGTGAAAGTTGACAAATTATTAAAAATCTACTGTTGGGTAAGTACATTTTGTAGTATTTTATTAATGTGGTTGAGTTTTACTTGTTTCACACGAAGGAACCGAAAGAAATGTGCACATTGTCAACTGAAATGTAGTTTGAGTTTGGCTAAAATTATAGCTAACGTTAGTAGGCTAAAAGTAGGGCTAGTGTGAATAAATCTAGATTTAAATTCAAAGAGAAAAGATATGCATGACCTGGCGTTTTATTCGTATCCAAAACGAGGAGATGTGAACATACAGAATACAAATTATTGGTCATTGTCCAGCAGTTTATTTGATTTCTTAGGCAATTAAAAGTAAGAAAAGTAAAAAAAAACCTGTTAGAAAAAAAAGGTATTACATTTTACATTTCTGTCCCCTTCACTTCTGAAATGATGGCTACGCCATAATAAACATAATTTCAGTGTAAGCCATGATTGACAGTCAATACTTGTCACAAAAACGTATAAACATTGGATAAGGACTTAGTTCATGCACTTGTTACATGATAGATGAGTGGTTGTGAAAGTGTATGTTTTAACATAGCATACAATCGCCACGCTGCACATTACTGTTAATTGTAATATTGACCTTGCGTGGACATTTTTCTGAGGTGAAGTAATCCTGAGTAATTTCTTTCTCAGAATCATGTCCAGGCGGCTGTGAGATGTGATCTGATCATCATCAGTCTGTCTGGGGAGACGTGAAGAAACAGAACAAACTGAGACAGACTCAATCCAAAAGAACTGTGGCCACGTCTCCAAGATGCTTCAAGAAACCTCCTGCAAAGCTACAGTACTGTTTAAAGTATTAGACACTTGTGTAAAAATGCTGTAAAATGAGAATGCTGTCAAATTTTATTTATCAATTAACTTCTATTATCTAAATGAAATCAACATTTGGTGTGAGCATCCTTTGTGTTTAAAGCAGGTTTTGCCCTCGGTTTCTCAGGGAGCTTTGCAGGAGGTTTCTTGGATATGCTATTTACCCATACATATAAAGTTTAAGACATCATCTAATTCCTTATTATCAGACATATCAGAACGGAAAAGAACCTTACTGATGGAAATACTACAGAGCTGGTGGATTTATTTATATTTATTACTTTCTTCTTTTAGAATCTTTAGTTCACCTAACCTGCATGTCTTGGGACCCAGAGCCACGCTGACACAGGGAGAACATGCAGAAAGGAACTTGAACCCAGGTGCTTAAGCATTTTGTGAGTTTTCATGATGTCACTAGATTGGATTTGAGTGCTGTTTTCAATGAATTAATTTGAAAATTCTATAATATTCTAATTCTGTTCTTTAAAAAAACTTGTCCCTTTTAGACTTGCACTCTATTCATTTACTGCTTGTTTTCTTTTAAAAAAAGTAACAGTAGTTTTTCTAATCTTTTTGTATTCTTTTTATTTATTATACAATTAACAAAAGCAAAAAAGGCATCTAACACTAGCTTGCTCTATTATTTTACTATCTATCTGTTTTCTTTTTATTTATTATATCATTTAAAAAAATGACTACGTGTACTGCATTGAGCTAACTGAGACTGGTTATAGCACTTGCATATCATTGCTCTTTTGTTGATTTTGATTGCTTCTATTGTCCTCATTTGTAAGTCGCTTTGGATAAAAGCGTCTGCTAAAAGACTAAATGTAAATGTAAATATGTCAAATGCCTTGATGGTGAAATTCAATATGAGGGGTGGTGGCCAACTCGAAAAGAAGCCATTCAAAGCTACCCCTTTATACTATGTGATTCAAGGTCATTTTGGCCTTATGACATTCAAAAAATCTCTTGTTCCTTGTCTATTATTTATATCATTTTTATTGTTGCCTTTTATCTATTCAGGGGACGTTCTCTAAAAGACCACCTGTTTTCATTAGAAGTGTCCAGTTAACTTTCACAGTTACACCTAGTTAAGGGTCTTTCTCAAGGACACCACAGTGGTATTGATGAGGCAGGGGACAACTTGCTGTTTTTTCACTAATCTAACACACATTTAATGCAGAACATCTTTTACTTACATAAGATTATTCTACAGTAAAATAACATGTAATACATGTTGATTACCTTTTTATAATGCTTCATTTATGAAACAGAGGCAAAATCTTGTTCCATTGTATTTTAAATTTAGTTGTAGAACCTTAAAGACAAAATAACCAGAATCAGAATCAGAATCAGAAGAGCTTTATTACCAAGTATGTTTACACACACAAGGAATTTGACTTGACAACAGGAGCTTCCAGTGTAGAAGAAAGTACAAACATAGTGCAGACGTACATGATAGTGCAGACATACATAGGAATAACACAGTAGGGATGTAATATAACACTAATATAATAAAAAAAGAAACATGTAATAATGTACTATATACAGAAATAGAAGTATAGGAAAAAATGTAATTGTTTAGATAAATGTACATATATGTTTATTAGTGTGCAGATATGTTATTTACAAAGTATGCAGTTTAATATGAATATACTATGTTAGTTGTGATGGACGATGTATAATTATGAAAGATTAATTGTTCAGACTGAATATAGCTTGTGGGAAATAACTGTTCTTGTGCCTGACTGTTCTGGTGGTCAGTGCTCTGTAGCGCCGACCAGAAGGCAACAGTTCGAAGATTGAGTGGGCTGGGTGTGAGGGGTCCAAGGTGATTTTTTTTAGCCCTTTTCCTCACTCTGGAGATGTAAAGATCTTGGAGGCTGGGCAGAGGGGCACCAATAATCCTCTCAGCAGTCCTGACTGTCCGTTGTAGTCTCTTGATGTCTGATTTGGTTGCTGAACCAAACCAGACAGTTATGGATGAACACAGGCTCAATGATAGCAGAGTAGAACTGTTTAAGCAGCTCCTGTGGCAGGTTGAATTTCCTCAGCTGGCGAAGGAAGTACAACCTCTGCTGGGCCTTTTTTGCAATGGAGTCTATGTGAGTGTCCCACTTCAGGTCCTGAGAGATTGTGGTGCCCAGGAACCTGAATGACTCCACTGCAGTCACAGTGCTGTCCATGATGGTGAGTGGGGGGAGTGCAGGGGGTTTTCTCCTGAAGCCCATGATCATCTCCACAGTTTTGAGCGTGTTAAGCTCCAGGTTGTTAAGACTGCACCAGACAGCCAGCTCTTTAACCTCCTGTCTGTAAGCAGACTCGTCTCCATCCTTGATGAGGCCGATGACTGTAGTGTCGTCTGCGAACTTCAGGAGCTTGACAGAGGGGTCTTTAGAGGTGCAGTCATTCGTGTAGAGAGAGAAGAGCAGTGGGGAGAGTACACACCCCTGGGGGGCGCCAGTGCTGATGGTGATAGTCCTGGATGTGAGTTTGCCCAGCCTCACTAGCTGCTGCCTGTCTGTCAGGAAGCTGGTGATCCACTGACAGATGGAGGTGGGCACGGAGAGCTGGGTGAGTTTGTCTGAGAGAACGTCAGGCATGATGGTATTGAAGGCAGAACTGAAGTCTACAAATAGGATCCTTGCGTAATTCCCAGGTCTGTCGAGGTGTTGCAGGATGTAATGCAGTCCCATGTTGACTGCATCATCCACAGACCTGTTTGCTCTGTAGGCAAACTGAAGAGGATCCAGCAAGGGTCTAGTGATGTCCTTCAGGTGGGCCAG